AGAATTGCCACTCCCCGAATACGTAAAAGAACTCTTCCTTCCATTTTTTGATCGAGGAAAGAGTGTCCAGCACTAATGACCCCCCGTCCTCGGTCTAAGCTAGTATACAACCAGCCGAAGTTCGTTCCATCCTCTTTGAATGTAAACAGTGAATTGAATTGTCAAACGCTCCGCTCAGGATTCCCCATCCTATCCCAGAGAATGAGGGCGACAATTAAGGTTCGCCACCCATTGGGGCATAACTGCGTGGGAGCTATGCCCCAAGAAAAAAGAAGCTTACGAACTACCCTTGGGAATGCTAGTCTAAGACCAGCCTGAAGTATGACCAAATTTAAAGCAACACATCCCTCTGGGGGATTGTCAGCTCAGTCAGAAGGTTCTGGTATGATCATTACTACCGAAATTGAAATCGCGTATTAAGCTCACCAGCTAGCTAACATGTCTCCCGTCACAACCGACCTATAAGAACTCGATCCCTACTCCTCAAGGACACTTCCCTCAACATCCCTAATGTCCCCGACCTCCCTCCCTAAGCCCTCACCACCAGATTCCATGACAGTACATCCTAGGTCCATTGGGTTAACTACGGAGATAGGGACAGGAGTAAAAAAAATTTTACAATTGGACAACGAGCTCGACGAAGAAAGAACATATTCTTCCTGCTGGTTTCCCCAGGAGTGTACTCTAGACTCGTCCGAACTCATGTAAAGATCAAAATGAAAATACAAACATGAAGGACAAAGAGAAAAAGCGAAGGAATACCTGGGAAATCGAAGGAAAGATGACCTCACTCAGAAGGAAGATAGGGCACACTGGGAGAATCTTGCTACCTTGGAGAGAAAATTGCATAAAGTAAAAAGGAAAAATGAAGGCCAAAAGGGATTTAAAAGGAAGAGAAGTCAAAGGGTTTGAAATCAGACCGTCCATTCAAAAAAAGGAGGAAAAGATCAAACGGCAGAAAAGGCTGGGTAGTCAAAATGGTCTCTTCACGAAACTTCTCAAAGAAGCTGTCTAAAATGTCATACAGCTCACCCCTATAAAAAACGTAACACTTGGCACAATAATAATTGAACCCCCCGAAAAAAGGGTCCGATAAGATGGAGGGTCAGCTCCCCCTCACAATAGAACTGACCTGGGGGTTGACTGTTGACTACTGAAATCCGATCTAATAAAAACAAATCGCTAAACCCACCACAGACAGCTGTGAGTTCGGTCACTGTTCCCAAATCGGACTAGCCCACCGTTATCTCAGGAAAACATCATGATTACCTCCTATCACATCACCCTATCAATCATATACACTCCCCACAAGTGACGTCATCATCGTCCAAAACCGTCAATCCGAAACCATTATTCTCAAACCCCTTGCAGGACATCATTACCTAGGGAAAACATTGACACATGGCCACTGCCTCATCGACCAATCATAGGAGAATTCGACGACCCGAGTTTCGAGCTCGGTACTATAGCTGATTTGACTAATTTGATGTAATTTCAGCTGGAGCCATGTATAAATAGTAGGGTAGAAATCTTGTAAAGGGTAGGTGAATTCATATAAAAGCTCATGGCACAATTACACTCTCTCAACATATTTTGTAGTTTCTTTCAATAAAATTCCCTTTTTTCTTAAAGTTGAGTTAAAATTAGCCTTACTAATTTTGACGACAACACATTTCATAATTCTTTGTACGGAAAAGAGACTTGATGTAATCTTTTGGAGGTAAGTACATGCCCCCTCCATCACATTTCATAATTATTTGTACGTAAAAGAGACTTAATGTAATCTTTTGGAGGTAAGTACATGCCTCATCCATGTACTATTTTTCAAATAATATACTAGTTAGGAATAATGCCAAAACCCCATTTAAGTTCAGGTAAGAAGCCTAAAAGACCCTTACTTGTTCCTAATAAATTGATAAAACTATATACAATAGTTTGCGTTCAGCAGAGCACACGTCCATGGGCGGAGCCATTCAAGGACCAATGTGGGCAAATGCCCGCACTGGACCTTTAGCCCAAGCCCAAAATCAATCTAATTTATTTTATTTTATTTTAATTTATGTTTTTCATTTATTTATAGTCCAGCCCCATACATTAATTTGCCCAAACTCTTAAGTACATGGTGACATTTTCTGACTCTTTTCCCACGACAAGAAACTAAAAAATTTCTTTTAATCTACCCTCATTTTGAATTTATTTTTTTTCATCTCTTTCCTAAAACCCACATTTTCTTGGGCCTTCAAATTTGCAACAAAAACTTTCTTGATCATGTGAGTTTTCTGTTTAATATTGGAGATTTTTCTGTTTAATATTAGGTATTTTGATTATGTGAATGTTGACTATTGATAATATTTGTGATCGATTCTTGAAATCTTGATTTTTGTCAATTAGCTAAACAATTAGTGATGATTTTCTGGTGTCTACCAATTTATAAAAATTAGTAGTTATTTTTTTATCAGTTAATATCTAATTGTCACTTGTGATTTATTTTAGTGTCAAGCGTCAATGAAGAGATTCTTTAAAAGGAAATATTTCGATGAAAATATTAATGAGGAGATATTGAATAAAATTGATTTTGATGTTGCACAACTCGCTACAAATCCCAAAATAAGGAAGAAGATGATTATTTTATTAGTATTGTCGCTATGTCATTTTTAGCATTGTCATAATATCATTAAATCCATAATCGAAAAATTCAACCTTGATTAAATTTTGCCCGCATTGGACAAAATTCCTGACTCCGCCCCTGCACAGGTCATCGTCCAAATAGTGATGACTACAAATTGAGCAATCAAACAACAAATTTTGAGACAAAAGCACTTAATTATATACCAAAAAAATTAAAATAAATTTCATATTTAAAACACGATTAAACAGACAGTTTTGTAGTGCATATAAAAATAGATATATACACTCAGTTATAATTATAGATACATAAACGATATATATATATATACACACACACGCACACAAGTACAAATGGGGGAGCAAGAGAGATTTGTCGCACAAATTCGAAGTCTCGGGCGTATTCTTCATCGTCCAAGTGATTATTAATTTAGTAGCATGTCTGTATAATGGAAATTTAATGAAAATATATAATTGAAGACTTCAAAAAACACGGGAACATGGTTGGAACTTAAATCGTTTATATAAACAAAGTCCAATGCAAAATATAACTCTCGATTTGAGAGATGGTATTGTTAGATTACAAAAGCGACAAGCAGAGAATTCCATTGAAAATATAGCAGCGAGAAATGCTGGAGAAGATCGCGTTGTTTTCGGATATTGGAAAAATTTAAAAACTAGCTGTTTATTGGTCCATTGATAGATTGTAATTGGAAATTCGGGAAAGTATAATTGACGAAATTAGCACTAAGTTGTTGTACCATTTTTCAGGCTTTCCATTTTAGGAGAGCGAGCTTGCTTAGGGAAAAGACAAGTTGCACTCTTCTAAGGATGATCGAAAAATTTTCTTGAACCAACACTTCCATACTCCCTCTCTCTCTCTCAATTCAATTTATTTTTACTTTTCTACTTTGAGTGTTGGAGTTTTTTTTTTTTTTTTTTTTTTTTATTTTTTTTTTTTCACTTTGTGGTTTATTTTTGTTTTTTTTTTTTTTTTTTTTTGGTTTTTGGGTTTTTTTTTTTTTTTTTTTTTTTTAAATTTTGACTTTCTCCATTTTAATCAACTTTCACAGACGTCAAACGATTTTTTTTATGACAGTCAAAATATTTATTTCTAATAATATGATATGTCAACTAACACATCTGAACAGACAAGGAATGCTTAGTACTTTCATATGAATGCTCCTATATTGCATACACATTGATTGTACCCTATATCTTAGAATTTAGAATCGAATATGTATTGGCATATGATTGTTAAAAGTGCTAATTTTAAGTTTTATCAACTTGCATGACGAGCTCTTTTTCATCTAATTTTTTGTCTCGAATGACAAGAATTCCTCGCTAGAGCATGAAAGAAAGTCCCTCCCTATCAAATTGCTTTAGCCCTTGTAGGCTTACCATAAAAAAAAAAAAAAGTTGAACCCCAACTTTAAGGGTCCTCCACCACTCCTGTCTTGGAGTATCGTGGGGAGGTAAATCACAAGTTATGCCTCCAAGGGTACAGGGTGGAAGGCTACTTGTACACTTGCACTTACCAAAGAGCTAAATCTATATTTCAGAATTCGAATCTTTGACGCGACAGTCTCAAGTAAAGTTGGATTTTTCCACCCTCTCTTTTTATCACTTGAAGATGTGCTCTGAAGGCCCTCGTAAGCTTACCATGTTACTAGCAAATGTGGAGAGCGAAAATGACCTAATCGAATATTAAATAGAATACTCCTCTATAAACGAATCTTTTATTGTGACAGTAAATAAGACAAGATAGTGTGTGTACTCGCACTCATAGTCATAGGGTGAGGCTTGGGGTAATAATGAGGTGGAAGAAAATTAGATGCTTTATATCAATAACGCGGCTTATAAATACAGAACAAGTCATTATCTGCTGATGTATGTAATGACAAGATTAATAAATTATTGAAATTGTATATTATGGGATAGTTTCATATTTAGTCCTCCATCTTTAATAATTTTGACAAATCACTCCCAATTTTCAAATATGCTTTCAAGTCTCCAACGATCGTGATTCAAATCAATATCATCATCACTCATAATAGAATAGCTTTTACATGATTCATAATATTTGCACAACACAATATTTTTAGATTGGCATGTGAGCATCGTCACATGCTTAGTTTCTGTCAGAACTATTAGAAGTCACTAAAGGTTGAAGATTTAAAAAATAAGATGGATGAAAAGGAATAGAAGTTAAAGATTGGGTAGTAGATATGCAATTTTTCAACGGTAAATGAAAAAATCTATAGTACATTCTACAGTTTTTAAGCATATGACTTTTCTCCTGGATAACTAATCAGATACATTGAACCTGGACATACCCATTTATAGCCTATAAAACCCCTTGTATGGAACATTTGTTCCATATAATTTGATTTGCTTCGACTCTAAAGCCAATTAATTTCCTCATCCGTACTGTTTTTTCTTTATTCCCATCAGTTAGTTACAAAAATGGCTCCAGCTATTGCCTACTCGAAGCCGCAGCACCGCCCTGAGCTGCCGGCATTGGCGGAGCAAGAGGTGTTGCAGAAGAGAAACGATGAGTTGGAAAAGGAATTGAAAAGGAGCCTGGAAAGAGAAGAAAATATGAAACAAGAATTGCAAAGAACGTGGGAGCGGCTGCGGGTGGCGGAGGAGGCGGAGGAGCGGCTCTGCTCCCAACTCGGCGAGCTTGAAGCTGAGTCTGTAGATCAGGCTCGGGCTTACCGAGTCCGATTAATGTCATTAATGGAACAACTTTCTACTGCCCAAAAAGTTCTTCAACAAGCCTCCATTTCTGTCCCAAGTTCTCAATGATCTTGCAGATATCACCATTAATTAATTATAGAAAATAAGCACTTATGGCCTTTTAATTATTTTTGTTTTGATATCTTGGTGTTCCACATAATCCTTTGGATTTTTCTTGGATGGTTTGTCTGCAGCTGCAGCTTGGCATATATGTAAATGAGCTTGTAAAACATTAATCTTTTAATTTCTCCTAAGTTATTAGGATGGGAGATTTGTGTACGATTTGATTATTGATAATGTTCATTTTTTTCCGCTTCTTCTTCTGTTTTATTCTTGTTTGTTCTTCCTCATTATTACTTACTTCTTCTTTGAAAATTCAGTAATTTGTAAAATAAAAATAAATAATATATATATTTATAATAAATTTAACCTTGGCCTAGATCTGATCCAATTTTATTTATGGCAGATAGATTTGAGAAAATTTTGTTATTTTACTGTGTTTGATTACGTCTTTCTTCCACTATTACACGTTTGAATTTTTATAATTGACCGGCATATGACGAAATAGACACGTATTTAGGGTATATAAGATAAAGCTTATGGTAAAACTATTCTGAGTAAGGAATTCAAATTGTTTGAAAAAAAAAAAATTCTTTGCTCGTTATGTTTTTAATTTTTTATGAATTTGTCTAGTAGTATATAATAGGATGTACAGAATGGTGTACACTCTACTCACGTGAATGTGGAACTTATGTGAAAGAAAGAATATTTTATTCGAGTGGGCCCCTCTTTCATGTGAGTGGGATGTAGACCATTAGGAACATTCCGATATACCACTAACAAAACTGTTTTTATAATTTCAATGATTTTCCGCAGTGTATCTAGAAGAGTAAAAAGAGTCAACGGAAATAATGTATACCACCCTTGAACCCATCCCACCCCACGAAGCGGTTCGCTATTTTGGGAGAGAAATCAGACAAAACTAATGTTAAGGATGGTGCTATCTCGTAAAGATATTTAACAGAATATACACACAACAATCCACTCTTATAAAATATTCACATGGGATCCCCTCCATGCGACTGTCCTGTAAAATATCTACACGGCATTTTCCTAATGTTAAATAAATATGACCTAACAAGTTGGCCTCTGATGATGACAAATATTGTGTGCCATGACGGAATACACAAACAAGCTAGCGTGTTTGACTAAGTCAATTGTCTTGACAATCGATTCCTAGTTTTCAAGCATCAAAATTCGCAATCAAGAAGGAAGACGATTGTGCTCCAACAAACTTTTGCCTATGACAAAAATATTTTCAACCATTTGTAGGAATTTAAGTCGTCTTTCAATTTTAATTTAAATAATAATTCTTTTGAACCAACTATTAACTAATTATTGTCGTATCTATTGTCTCATCAATTAGCTAACTAAATACAAACCCATTTTCGAGTAAATTTCTCATCTTATTATCCATCAGGTTAACTTATATTTTATTATTTTATAATAAATTTAAATGCTCAATTCATTACTCATATTATAATCAATCACTTTCAACTTTAAAGAACTTATATAATTAACTCTTGGTCAATTCATGTTTTCTCAAACTCATTTTTAACTACATATTTATGTTAGGCTCTCATGTGTTTTAAAAATTCTTTTTCCAACTACACATTCTTTCATAGAATAATTTTACACATAAATTCAAAATTTTTCTCATTTTTTAACCACTCATTGTCCAACAAAGTTACAAACCACTATTACAAAATGCACTTTGACCCAAAATTCGGGTTCAAATAAAGATTCACAAATTTTTTCAACTTTTCGACTACATTTTTCGGCAACTGTTTTCAAAGTCAACTAAAAATTTTGATTTTTAGCTAACCAAATAGGATTTTAACTTTACCCATTATTAAAGGATTAGCAAACACTCAAAAAGCATTAAAAATAGTAATGTTTGATTCGCCAGCACTTAGAACTTTTAAGTTAGGCTAACTAGAGCATTTTCAACCCCCATCCCTGTTGCACCGTAATTCACCAATTTTTTGTGCAAATCTCTCCCAACCCCTTGCACAATTTTGGAATAGTATTGCATCAAATATGGTGCAACACTATTTATTTGCACCATTTTACACCAAAATTGTTAAATATTCTTTTACCCTTCTCTTCCACTTTGCACCAATTTTTATTAAGGGTATATTTATCCATTTGTTATACAATAAATTTTAATTCTAAATTATTATTATATGCATTTGCAATAAATTTTTATCATTTAATCAATAATAATTAATTGCGAATACTATTTCAACTTTATAATATCATGATATTGCAATTCAAAATATATTACACTCTTTTTTTTAGTATTATGATTTAATAATTTCTTAGTTCTTGTATCTCTATTAATTATACTGCATTTTTA